TGTTTACTCCAAATTCCAGACCAGATGTTTAGAGTGGAATGCACTTTGTGTCATGTATCTTGTGCAATGTGGTACACATTGTGACTGTTGTACACTTCATTCCAAGTAAATAGTAAATTGTTAGTCTGTAAGATGATAAATCCATATTGTCAGTCTGTAAAATGAACTGAAGGAGTTGTGGTTCATCAAGCTTCAAGTTTAACATCATATGTTGCACCATTCAAATTACTGTGTAGCATCCTCTGCATGTTGTGCCAGTTGCAGATAACAGATGAATGGGTGCATGTTGTTGCAATGTAATATCCGGTGCATTTGTGTTTGCTGCAGTCTACGACCTAACCTAACCAAACTTAGATAAAGCTAGAAAGATCCTTTTGCCACTGGAAAGATGTTTAGGTAGACACCCATATATGAAATGAAGAAATTTATAGAATAATACAATGGACTAAGCAACTTGTATTAAAATTAAATTGATAAATTCTTTCAACCAAGAAATATGATACTATATCAACAAGTAAACCTTTACTTTATTCCAGCAACTTAATAATAAATATGACAAATGTCTTCCATACAAGTGTCCTGCCATTTCTAATTGACCTGAAAGCAGGGTGGTCAAGCTGATCAAAAATATTTGTTGTTGATATAGTAAATATTTCCAATTAGAGTTCTTAATTTAAATTGGAAATATGATACTAAGATACCTTATCTTCACCTCACTTTTATCTTATTTTCTCTGGTTCTTTATTCTTTAAATATCATTAAAGTACATGATGTTAATGGATTATTATATTTTGAAAACAGACTGGAAGAAACTTAAGAGAAAAAGTAAATAAATATATTTGTCATTCCTTATTATTAAATTCAATTTACAATGATCAGCCATTATATTCTTAGTTTTGAAAAGCCATTAAACTTATCCTTGTTTTATTATTATAAATTTAATTTAATTTTATATTTTTAAAGGTTTCTAGAAGAAATTGCAATTTGTTGTTTTTTCCATTTATTTTTATAAATGGAAAAAACAACAAATTGCAATTTCTAGAATTGCAATTTGTTGTTTTCATTTGTTGTTTTTGCAATTTATAGAATTGCAAAAAACAACAAATTGCAATTCTTCTAGAATTGCAAAATATAAAAACAATAATTCTGAATTAATTCATTCTAAATAAATTAATACAAAAATAAGTAGCAATTAAATCATAGGCAGTTTTCTTTTAATCAGTCAAGCTTTGTTAAACAATTAACTAAATAAAGAACTACTTATCAATAATAATGAGTCAGTAATAATGAGTAAAAGTTCAAAGTACTTGCAACTTTTTTATTTATTTTTATATGACATTTTGTTGAATGAAATTAAGTTTCCTCTTAAATTAATTGCATTCATTTTATAGTATATAAATTAGTTTTGTTTTAACAGAATTAAAAAAACAAAATAATCAGAGTTTTAAGGAGATAAATATACACTTACATGCTTTTTTTTAGAAAATGCTATAATACAAATTTAGTTGTATTTAAACTGATAGCAAAAGGAAAATAATTTATATTATTCTTGTGCTTATTTTAAATGTTAATATTGTTGATGTGTGTGAATTCTTTTTATATATTTTCACCATAACAGAATTTGTCACTGCACCTGACTGTCCAGGAAATCACAGAAAGGTTGAACATATTGGACATTATTCAATTATTTCTGAACATCTAAACATGTTAGGGAAAGTCAAGAGGCTCAACAAATGGGTACCACACGAACTCAGTGAGAGAGATAAGGAGCATCATTTGGAGGTCTGCAGTTCTTTAATTATTCGTCACAAAAATGAAAGTATTCAAATGAAATTCTTGTCCATCTACCTTATTCTCCAGACTTTTTGCCAACAGACTATCAATTTTTTTATACATTTGGACAGTTTTTTTGGCAAGGAAAGTCTTCGTGGAAAGAAATGCAGTAAAAAGTACCGGTACCTTTAATGACTTTTTGGTTTCTCATTCTTGTGATTTCTATCAAATTGACATTAATGCATTTCTGTTGCATTGGAAAAAGTGTATTGATGTTAGTGGAGACAATTTTGATTATGTAAGTTTTAAATTAAATTATTAAACGTTCAAAATCAGAAGTAAAAATTGGCCATTTCATTTGCAATAACCTAATAATATGAATATTCATGTAATATGGTATTTTTATAAACACGTTTATCATATAAATTGCAAATTGTGAGTACAGATATCTGTACTCATTTTTATTTTCTTTTTCAATTAAGACACGAGTTTAAGATAGCATTGGGGATATTCAAGAAGGAAGAATATTGTAAAGTTTTTATTCACATATTTTTCATACAAAAGTTAAATAAAAGAACTAAATTTGGATAACATTGAAAGAATAAAATATTTAAATATTTTTTTATTTACATGCCAAAAGGTCTGCGTAATTATTAATTGGGCTATTATAAAGCCAGTAAATAATTAAATACAATAGCTCAATGGATAATTCTATGGATTGTTTGGNCACATATTTTTCATACAAAAGTTAAATAAAAGAACTAAATTTGGATAACATTGAAAGAATAAAATATTTAAATATTTTTTTATTTACATGAAAATTGCCAAAAGGTCTGCGTAATTATTAATTGGGCTATTATAAAGCCAGTAAATAATTAAATACAATAGCTCAATGGATAATTCTATGGATTGTTTGGTGATACAAATAAATAGGATTGTGTATGTTATATATATTTACATGAAAATATTCATGATTGTAAGGAGAGTTACAGAAGGAACATAATGTAAATACAAGTATTAGCAGAAACATGAAATAAGATATAGACCATTTTAGGATCATTCCTAAACTCAGCTTTGAGCTAATAAACCTTGATCCTGCACTGATTACTCAAGACAATTTGGGTTATTGCATACAAATCATAACACTTGAAAAAGTTTGAGAGAGAGAGAGAATTATTTTGTTCTTTGAAATTGATTTTTAGGAACTCAGATGAATGAAATAACTGTAAAAAAGCAATGTATGACCAAAAGAGGGTTAGAATTGATCATGTAAGTCTGAATCTCATTTGATTAGGATTGGTAGAGGAACTATCATAATGACCAATAGGTACTAAACTGGGATATCAGAAAAAAAATTCTCTATCCAGTTCAACTTCCTCCAAATCCTACAGATTCAAACCTATATATTTTTGTATTTTATAGTTCCTGATTTAAATAATTGTCAGAGAAATTTATTTTTTAATGTGTATATATATATATATTCTCCCTTACTCTTAAAAGGCATAAAAATTTAACAGACAAAATTTAAAGCATAATTATTGTAAACTGAATTTACAGTAGAACCCCTCTAGTCCGCCCTCGGCTAGTCCATCACTCTGGTTAATCCGACTGTGGTCGGACTCGAGAAACTTGTCCCGACTCGTCAGTGACTCACCGTCCATGGTGTTCTTCTGTGTTCGTTACAGTATATGTTTTACATTGTGTGTACGTGTACAGTTTTGTGTGTGTTTTCAACATGTCAGGAGTGAAACGTAAACACGTTACTCTTTCATTAAATGAAAAATTAGCAGTGCTACAAAGACTGGACAAAGGGAAGATTGTTTATTTTACTTTTTTCTGATAATCCAACCTTTTTTGCACTCCAACCATATCCCCAGTCCCAAAGGTGATGGATTAGAGGGGTTCTACTGTAATTCTTTACATTATAGACATTAAATAAAATGTAAGTAGTTGAAAGAAAATTATTCTTAATAAAATAGATTATAAAAAATGAAAATACAAATGATAATGAAATTTGAAATTAAGGGAAAATAAGTTTTAATATGTGAAAACTTGTATAAATAAACTTCCCCTGCATCACTGGCTATCAATAATGTGATGCATATCTACAGAAGGGTCTCTCTTCCAGGATCAACAATATTCATTTAATAAATTTTTTCACAAATTTTAAATTTAATTAATAAGATGTATAAATAACAATAAAAATTTATGCAATATTATTGCTATTACAAGCATGTATTTTTCCAAGTAATAATATAAATGCAATAAATATTTAATGATTTATTGATTTAGCTGTTTAAATATTTATTAATAGTGAATCATAAATTATAATATATTTAACTATATAATATCAATTATCGTACATGTTTTTATTACTGAAATTATTAATTTATTAAATTATTTAAATATTGATTTTAGTAAACAATGAATATGTATGTAATGCACTGTACCGTAATTCAACTGCAGACGACTTTTGCATCTAAGGATCTCCATAATGTTCAGCCAATTTAAACTTTTACCATAGCATGGTATGAATAATTATGTTTACAGTCAATTCAATAAATGTTATTAATTAATCAATTGATACAGTTGGATTCTTATTGGCTATAATAAGGTATTCAATTAATAAAATATTAATGAATTTATCTAGAGGTAGGTGGTTAAGCCACTATCTTGTCTTAAATTTAATAATCAGAAATAAATTATATATATTGTGCCAGGGTAAAAGCTTAAGTTGGCTAACTTAAGCTTTTACCCTGGCACAATATATATAATTTATTTCTGATTATTGTGCCATGGAGGGTTATGGGTGCAAAGTTGTCTCCAGTCGACATGATAAGTGACCAGTATGGTAATGTAATTCTCTCATACAAACTAATCAGAACGTACTCTGTTATAATTGCAATGTTTATATTTTATTAAAAGGTATTCTATTATTTTTAATGTATAAAATATATGAAACTATAGGATAAAAAATATATTTTAAAATAAATGTATTTGCATATTTTAGTTCTAATAGTAACAGCAGTTTATAATAAAAAATCATTATTACTGGCCAGTGAATTAAAGAATTTTTTGAATGATATCATTTGGCACATTTTTTAAAAATATATTTTTTTGTTTTGATGTTTTTTTAAAGTGCTTTGTTATATATTTTTATCTGTAATAAATTACATTAATGATATAAAATGTGTTAATATAAAGTAATTTATGCATTATTTTTTCAGGTGATTGCATTGATGTTGGTGAAGCTGTGACAGATTTCATTGAGTATTTATTTAGTGAATATGGCGATAAATGCGGTAAAGTTATTACGAGTGAAGGTATCTAAAATGTTTTTCCTATTAAATTTTTACTAGATTTTATAGCTTGTTTATAAATTTTGTTATTAAAATAATATTAAAACAAATTGCTAACATTGTAGTTACCAAAAAATACTAAATTGGAAGTGTTTTCAACCTTACTTAGGTTATATTGTGTTGACAGAATAAATGGAATTGTGAGATAGCTTTTATTTTTTCAGCTAAGGGTGACAGAAACAACTTCCTGACAATTCTCTTCTGTTTATTGGGAGAGCTTGTTATCTTTGAAACTATAATTATATTTTTTCTTTCTTGATCCTTTGTTCTTGTTTTTTTAAATTAATGCACTATAAGGAGAGGTTGATAGACCTAGTTCAAGTGAGTCAAATTATTCATTTGGATAATGTAGCCCACTGAGGACAAAGAAGATATAATTAAGATTGAGAAAAGATACCATTCTCTTATTAGTATATAATTGGAAGAAGAGAGAGCATTACTGCCAACTATTAAAAACTATTTTTTTTTTGTTTTTTATTATGGAAATTCATCATTTCCCCTAGTTGTTGGAGATCAGAGTACCCTGTACTACAAAGCATTGCAGGATTTCCATAATAATTTCTTTATTAACATTAATCAATTACAAATGCAGAAGCTTTAACAACTATAAAATAGCATAAAAAGTATTTTTACAGTAGGCTTTTGCCATTTTAAATCAGCTTTGGTCTTTACAAACAATTGAGGTGAGAAAATATGAGTTAAAGTGATCATGTTGAGCTGGATAGACAAGTCAAGTACAGCACATGTTGCTAAGACATTTGATCTGAGAAAATACTGAAGTAATTAGTGGTCAAAGAGAAAGGACTCCTTTCTCTTTGATCACCTCAAATGTCATAATTACAAGGTCAATTATGATAATGAAGAACATGTTTTTCAATCTTATAGAAGAGTTGGTAACTCTTTTTGTTCTTGCAATATCATAGTTGTTCTCGGGTAGGTCTCTAAGGACATGTAAATGAAAATGAAATATGTTTGCAGTAGGAAGACCACTGTCTTCCTACTGCAAACATATTTCATTTCATGAAGAAGTGTGCTATGTTCTAAATATCTTTGCCACAAGAGCAACTGGTATTGCACTATGTCTGATCCTTTGCAGATAAGCATTGTGGTTGGCATGATTTGTCAGCATTTGAGACAAGATATGGCCTGGCTTAAGCCACTTTAGATCGATCATTAATGTGCTTTTTAATACTTGGGAGAATATTGTAAGTGAGTCTGTCTTTATCAGAATTATCCAAATGGTTCTTCCAGGTCTCCTGTATTTTTTCTCTAACGAGCTTTCTAATGTAGCTGGTAGGAAGTTTATTGTAATATATTTTCTGTCAAAATAACTAAATTTCTTAACGTATTAGTCTTCTTGTTACCTGTTGTGCCAAAGTAGACTCTGCTTCATGTCTGTATCTATTGTAAACTGGCAAAACATTAATATTCAATAATATATATAGCAGTAAAGATAATATACTTTTCTGCTCTGTCTATCCTTTGCCAAATAAATGGTATTTTTTATCATTCTTTATTGGTTGGATTGGAAATATTCTTATCTTTCAAATTGTTTTTTAGAAGAGATATTCTTTCTAACTCTCACGATCTTCCTAATTCTTATATCTACTTAATTCTGTTCTTGTAGATCTGATAATATTAATCAAACTCTAGTCCAGCAGGTAAAGAATTCTTTCTGAATTCTACAGCTTAATTTCAGTTATAATTGTTTTAGTTATTTTTTGTTCATTTTTTCATATATGTATAACATAATCTAATATTTTTTTATTGTAAAGCTGAACTGAATTTTTAGAAGTACAGTATTACAAATGCAATTGAGAAGTGACATGGATTTATCAAATATTAATTAATAAATAACAGGAAAGTACTATTGTGTGCTACTTTTACAGAAAAATTTTTACACATAACAATAACATTGAAACTGCCATAAAAAAGAAAGAAAAAAAAAGAAAATACAGTAGAGCATCGATTATCCGACTCAATTGGGGGACTGGGGTCAGTCGAATAATTGAAAAGTCGGATAACCGAAAAGTATGAAAAAATCCATTATTAGTGTAGTATATTATTATATCCCATGAAATTAGTATATTAGTATATCGCTATTAATCTACTTCGCGTTGAATTTCCTCTATGTTAAGCCTATCAAATTTTTTTTTTAAATAATAATTGTCGCTATTGCATCGTTAAAAATTATTTTAAAATTATTTTATTGCTCACAAAACAAACAACCACTCATAATTAGAAAATTAAGTCTTGTTTAAATACTGGCCTCCCTTTCATGATCGAGCCTGTATAGCCAGCTAAAACACGCAAAAATTTAACAAAAATAATATTAAAATAGCCAAGACATAGCCAAATATTGTAGCGCCACATCACTAGTGGACATTTGAATTTGCCGACTAGAACGCGGTCGGTTAACCGAGGTGACAGTTAATCGTGGGTCAGATAATCAATGCTCTACTGTAGTTCATTTCATAGCTGTAGTGCAAAACTGCACAATAGATATGGAATGAACTATTTACATCATTTGATTTAACAGATGGGAGTTCATTTTTTAAAGATTTTTTGTATTTATTTAATTTTAGTATTTCTTTATATTTATCAATTTAGTTTTTATGTATTTATTTATTTTATTTATGTGTTATTTACATGCAATGATCTTTGTACTTTTAAATATTTTCGAACGTATGTTTGAATTGCGTTATCTTAACATTTAGATGTTAAATTTGAATTGGCATTTCATTTAGTTTTCTACAGGAAGGATGTTAAAGACACTCAAAAACATTAGTTTGTAAATTTTTTGCTGTTCCAAGGTTATTGTTGTGTGAATTTATTTATATTTGCAAGATAGCTCTGATTTAGTGAACAATTTTTATATCTGAATTTAATCAATAAATGTAATGATATGACACTGCTTGTGCACAGCAAATTATGTAATTAGACTAATATTTAATTTTCAAAAAAATTTTAATACTAAATTTACAGAATTTTGCAGTAACTGTAATGATTAATAATAACACTTATAAACTGAAGTGTTATTAATATACTGCACACATTCATTTTTGACCACCAACCATTGGTTGAGGAGAGAGAGAGAAACTGGTGACAAAAAATTAGAGACACCTGCCTAATAATATGTAGCTCCTCCTGAGACCCAATAACAGTGCTACACAACATGGCATAGATTCTGTGAGGTGTCTTCATTGTTGCACAGGTATTTCAATCTATACATGTTTAATGGTTCTCTATAATTCAGTTGCATTTGTTGGATAACTGCAAGGCATTGAGTAATGTTTATGCAGTGTTGCATAAATGCTCTATGGGGTTCAAATCTGGCAACCGAGGCAACTGATGGAGTAGCTGAAAATCTGTCAAGTGTTCTCGAACCATTGTTGTATCACCCATGTCCTGTGAGGAGTAGCATTATCCTGCTGTTATAAACCATTACTGTCAAGGAACATAGTAAACATAAAGGGGTGCAAAACATCTGTCACAAGATTAGTATACTTTGCACTTGTCAAAGTTGATTGCAATCTCACTATTAGTCCCTGTTCATGCCAATAGAACACACTCCAAACCAGGACCACTGCCACCAGCTTTCACCACTCGTTACTGACATAATGGATTCATGGCTTTGTGTAGTTGTTGCCACACATGAACACGAATATCAATAAAGTTTAACTATATATGTTAACAAGTAGTCATTTATTTTACAGATATAACAGCCATCTGGCTAGTAATGTATATATAAACACTGTGTATGATTATTTGATATATTTCCAGGCCAAAATTTGTTGCTAGTTTGACACTGCTTATAAATTTAATATTATAATAACCAAACATATTTACTTAAAAAGTATTTATTAATAGGCCAGGTAAAAACATAGAAATGAAGAAATAAAATAATTGATATTAAAAGATTTTTTTACAAATTGACTCAAATATTAGCAAAGATTTTTAATCAATATAAATGAATATGAATGTTAAGGTTTTAAGTTTTCAAATTCAAAAATTGTAACTGTTTAGAATATTAACTTTGAATTTGTTCTAATTTGTATATTTTGTGCTACATTATTATAAACTGCAAAATTGTGAATATTAATTAAGAATAATGTTAAGCTGAGGATGATCAGATTTTGATTGAAAATGTTTATTTTAATTAATAAAAAGTTGGCTTTCTGAAATTAGCAGTGATTGATTTATTTATCATCAATTTTTCTGACTCTTCCAAAATCTTGCAAAGTATTTGAAACATATTTTTTCTTAATATTATATGCTTTTTGTTCTAAAAAGCCTATTTCTACTATAGGTTAAATGTTTTTCGAGATCTTCAAACCTTCAAATTAGTTTAATCTATAGTAAACTAATGATGGTGTACACCTGTACACCATCATTATTTTACTATATTTTACCAATATGAATACAATTAAGCAACTCAGTTTGCTGATGAAAAAACATTCAAACTTTTTTGTTAAATGCGTTATGTTTTGTAAGTTTAACACCAACAAACTGAGTTACTTAACTAATAATCTGTAGTAAAAATGGGCTGCTTAAAATGAATAATATACTTGTACAGTACATACATCTAATTGTAATGAACTTAATTCTGGAACTTAATTGCCAAAATTTATAATTGAAAAATCATGCAATTAAATAAAACAAATTTAGTAATAATATAAAATTTAAATAAAGAAAAATTTCTGTATAATAAGCTTGGGATCATAAAGTTCTTATATTGTTTATATTGGTTGAGTCCCATTAATGAAAAATTTTTTCTTTTAAAAACTCAGTTTTATGTAAAATTAATTTTTTTAACTTAAATTAATTTCATAAAATATAAATTATAAATATTAATTATATGCTCTTTTTAATCATAACAGGCATAGAAAAAATGTTGAATGATTTACGTAATCCTCCAAGTTCAAATAATCACGATGATCATATTCATAGCCATGGTGGACATCAAAATCATAATCACAGACATCATACTCATGAACACGACCATGACCACGACCACGACCATGACCATAATAATGATCATGATGATTGTCATGAGGATCACAATGAGGAAAGTCATTCACCAGTTTTTCCTTCAGAAAGACCACATGCAATTTATCATTATCCCTATGAAATGTCATCATATACAGATTCAATGACAACTGAAAGTTTTAATAAAAATACCTTTACTGGAATATCTGAGAGTGGTTCAAATAATAAAAGGCGAAAGAAAAGATTTGTAGCGATAAAAAGAAGTCATGCGGCAGATCATCACGAGCATAAAAGTTTAGCAGAAAAAGTAAGAACTTTTTTACATGTATATACTTTATATTTTTTTTATATAGACATTTTTAATTTGTATAATAAAAATTGTCAGTTTTGAATTAATTCATTAGATTACAAATCAAAAAGTAATGTATTTAAGACGAATAATTATGTACGAAATAAACAAAACTGTTTTTCAGAATTAAAGAATTTTAATGCCAAAAGACAGTTTTGTTTATTTTGTATGTATTTAAGGTTGAATAATACATTTAAAAGTGAAAGTGGTATAAGTCACTTTTCATCTATAGAAATACTTAATACTCATATTTCTTTACAACAAATATGTAAATAATTCTTTCAGGACTGAAATTCAGCAGAAATGTAGTTTTCTTTGGAACTGACTTACACCACTCTCGTTTTCAATGATTCATATATATACAGTACATGTTATAGGTATGATTAATGAAAAAAATTATTATTCATTTTTAATTTTCTAGTGTTTTGATTCAGACATGCTCATTTTAAGATTTGGACATTTGCCTTATACCAATGTTACGAGAAATGAATTCCTTCAAATGTGTCCCGCACTCATTCAACAAATTGTAAGTGGTGTTTGTAATAAGAATTCGACAAAGATTGTTTCCCGTCCATCAATGACTGAATGTAAGAAAATTTTGCTGATAAATACTTATTTTCATTAGTTCAAAAATTATTCCTTTTTTTGATAAATTATTGAAAAAGAAACATTTCTTAATTCATAAAACAAATTTTTCTAGTATATGGATACAGTTCATTGGCTGTGTTTGTCATCAGTTTGTGTGCCCTTGGTGGAATTTTTATCCTTCCAATTATGGCCAAAAGTGTGTATCATTACATTATGATGGGTTTCATTGGCTTATCTTTTGGAACTATGGCTAGTGATTCTCTGTTGCATCTCATTCCACAGGTGAATTATCATTTTATACACCATATTTGTCATTTTAATTGTTTTATATTTTTAATTTTTTACAGAAATTATTTATTTCCATTTATAAATATGATATTAAACTGTTAAATATCAATATTATAAGGGTGTAAAATATAATTAGAAAATAACTAATTTAGTAATAAATGATTAAAAATAACTGAGGATATTTTTAACTTACATAATATTGTGATGACTACAGTTGTAGCTTGCATATTATGTATGGCTGACATGGCTATAAGTCTTAATGATGTGAGGAGGCTACTAAGGTGCGTCTCTTGAGGAAGAATCGGTCGTGTCGATCATCCAATTGCATCCACAAGTAGCGTCAGCATAGAGTTGAATAAATGATCTCAGGACAGACGATGGAATCCACCAGTAGTTGTCACAAGTTTATTTTACAGAATATGTACAAAGGTTACAATTACAATGACCACTAACAATGGTTGGAGCGTTTGACGAGGTGAGTGACCAGACGGTAGCATGTCGACCCAAAAAATGAGTTAGCCTCAGTCTGATGTCACGTAGGTTGGAGAAGCAGTCAAGTGCTATGTTGCCAATCGCCACAGATGTGACAGTTTTCAGCATGTTGCTTTATAGTTTAAGTGTAAGAATTTGAAAATAGCAATTTACAATTCTATTCATTTTTTAGTTTCAAGTATCATAATTAGTTTCTTTCAACAAAGTTTTCCCTTTATTAATGTTTTTTTAATATTATATGAAATTTACTTATTTTTTGTTTATATTATTTGATAAATACAAGAATAACCAATGATAATTAGTTCAAAGTACATCTATGTTCTTTGGTCTTTTTATCAAAAACATATCTTGTTAGTTGTATTCTGTACAATGTTTTAAATAAGTTGATGCAGTATTTTTAATTGTACAAAATGTTAGGGGTATAGCCTACTGTAGTTTATTTATCTGTTTAATTTGTTGGGTTGACATCAGTGTTTTTTTAGTGAGAATCAATAAACTTTGTTCATGTTCTTACATTCTACATTCTTCAATGAGTAGATGTGAATCCATGTCTATAAGGAAGAAACAAAAAACAAGCTTTTCTTTTCATCTAAATTAATGTTTATTTTTTATGATTCAGTTATCTATACTGTATAGCATTATTCTACAACATAGCCTAATTGCATGAATGTGCAATTTAAGATTATAGAGGAGGAGAGAATCCCAGCAGGTCTTGGCATTGTTCATAAACACCTGGATATGAAAGAGCCTTGTATCTGTGTATGTTTTCCAAGGATGAAAATAGATCTAGAATTTTTAGATGGATGTGGTTATCATAACTTGAAGTTTACAATCAATATGGATGAAAGGCTGAAAGATGGAATCATGAGTGAAAAATGATCTCTAAATGAGTATCATCTCTTCTCCACAAGACTACAATTGTCATCAATCCTTTTTTGGAGTTTTCTTGAAAACTCTTTCTTAATAGACAACTGTTTTAATTGGATCATCAAACTATCACCAAAAATATGCATAGATTATCCAGGAGTTGGTCTCAGGGATGAATTTCTTATCTAATTCTCATCTCTACCTCTTGAATTCATTTATTTTAACTAAATTTACCAGAATCTGATAATTGACTTTTGATAAATAATTAATAAGACAATTCAGATTTCTCATCTTTACTCATGGACAGTGTGAGTGAGGGTGGGTACAAGCCAACCCTAAAATTTTTCTTGATCAACCTTCCATCCACCCTGAAATAATTTATTCAAGTCTATCCATACTGACCATTATTGGAAAGTTTTTTGAATATCATTATTTGCCAAGTAATTATACATTCTCACTAAACTTTTTCCTTCTTATACAGAAGTGTCTTTCTGAAAATCAATTGTTAAATTTTAAAAATTAGTTTGTTTGATGATAAAATGTGCATATAATAACCACCATGCTAAAACAATGTTCTGCCCACCTCTGTCCTCCTAGAATGAAAATCCTAGCACCATTACTACATATGCATAATATTTTCATCTGACATGACATAAATTCAACGTTTTACTAAACAAATGTTCCAATTTTTGTACATACGTATAAGCCAGGGGTGGCCAACAGTTTTTGCCCCCCGGGCCAAATTGGAAAGAAAACTTTTTCCACGGGCCAAACTAGAGGCGGCCCTAGGAAGATTTTGAGGTACTGCGAGATCTCATTGTAGTGGACGCCATGAATCTCCCCTTTCACCATCTTTCCTATCTCACTTTTATTTCACCTTCATCTCTACTCTACTACTACTTTTCTTTAATCTTCACCCTCAGGCAATACCCATGGGTAGTCCCGAGTCTTCATCCCCTTTCTGCTATAATGTATTGCTAAAATGTGGTGTCATCCTGTAGGGACTAAATTGTAGATAGAGATTACAGATACATTTTTCACATTATGTTTTATCAACATTTTACACTGTACTTACAAGATTTGTAATGGAGGGTTAACTCTAAACACACACAGTGAGTTGTTGACTTTTTTTTTTTAGTTGTCAGAATTTTTCATTGAGCTATTCAGACTTGGGTAGCTAATATTGAAAGATTGATCGCGGGCCACATAAATTCATTAGGCGGGCCATATGTTGGCCATGCCTGGTATAAACTATATAAACCTGTGTCATTCTAACTGCTATACAGCAAGCTTACAAAAAGTAGCATAAATATAATTAGTCCTAAATTAAATACTAGAATGAAAAACTTAATTGAAAGGACTCTTTGGATGTAAACTTTATATTTTGTTAGTAACAAGTGGGTCAAAGATTGTTCTTTTATTTTGCAAATCTTTGGATAGAATACAGATTATGTACTAACCTATGAGATCGAGATTTGCTATTTAAATCTGTCAAGACTTCATTAAAAAATAAAAAAATAGTAAGTTTAAAATAAAATTGTGAATTTACTGTTTATAATTTGTTCATAAATACAAAAATATAATGGTGCATTGTTTAAGTGACACTCAAAGGACCAGATAGAAAAGACATGTAATAAGATACACTGAAAATAGTAGAACAAATAATCTTTACTACAGACTTTTGGTTTCTAGTGAATATTTTAATTTGTGTTATATCTTTATTATTAAAAAAAATAATATTCTTTGTTGAGGATCCCTCTTGCAGAATATTAGAAATATGTAAATTTACCGTTTTATGATCCATTAGCCAATAATTAACTGCTACTTCTTTTCTCTGAGGTAATACGGCCAATAGGGGCCAGTTTTATGCTGTTTAATTCTGGGAATGTGAACAGAAAGGTGCAAAAATGAAACAAAAAATGTACAGTAAGAACCTGTGATTAAATTTGATATAACGTGGTCTCCTCGAAGGCTAAAAAAAAAAAGCTCAAAATTTACACTGATTTAAATTATCACGGCATTTTATTGATTCATACATAATACGATTATTTACAAACACAAACCAATCAGAAAAAGTGGCAAAAAGGTGTACTTTCTTTAAATCTATGTTTGTTTGGTGTAATTTTGAAAAAAATATATCATGGATGCCATAGGCAATAGTGGCTTTGCTTGGCAAGAATTAACTTAAATGCATGAACAAAGTGTGGAAGAAGTTATGGCCGAAGGTATCCAAGAATTCTCAACGAGAAAAGCCTATCGCTGTATCGTTAGGTTGATCAAACTCAACCTAATCGATACGGTAGGACTAGGAGATGTAGACGAGCAGGATACCACAGGTTTCTTGTGAGAGTCTTATCAATGATGACCTTCGAGAACTGGCAGAACAAGGAATTCATGTGAAACTGGAAAATAAGAGATTCTGAAAATGAAGAACCCAAAAAATTTCTCTACAGATTTTCTTAGTAAAAGTTTGGTAACAATAACCGAAATCATTTATCAAATTGTAGCAAATGATCTAGATTTTAGAAAGGAGTGCAAAAGCAAAATGAGGTGTTTTGGATACGATCTTCTGCTACCGACATTTGCTTAAGGAAAGAAAAAAGCGACAAATGAAACTTTACGACTTTATTGCAAAAAAACAAGAATTTCAGGAAAGTCAGGACCTTCGTCACAAAAAATGAACTAATTAATTTATTATTATACATTTCTGTATGCATATGTTTATGTGTTATTTAACATATATTTTTATACAAATTAATATAAAAATAACTTAAAGTAAAATTTTTTTATTTTCGGTTGTGTGTTCCCCTATCACTATTTACTCTATGTTAAAATGACCGCGTTTAATGCTGTTTCGTTTAGCGCTTTGTCATCTAGGAATGCATCCTCTGCATTAAGCGGGGTCTTACTGTATTTTAGAAATTTTGAACGTGTTTTCTAAGAACTATATTGTGCTATCTATTATCTTTTTCAGAAAATAAATGATGTATACACGAAACTCTGTAAAGAATTTAGATGTATAAATGAAATATTTCATCATTGAATAGGAATAGTGTAAAATGATGTTTAAGTGTGAAATGTATAAACAGCACTCCACTGAATAGGAATAGATACCTACAAAAATGCAATTTAATGTATTAAAAAATTGACACACACTATTATCAAAATGTTTTCACTTTCCATTGACATTTCTTTCATGGATGAATCCATCTTGACACATGATTTGCATCAGTGTGGGAGTAGAGTTGTTTCATATGTTAATGAACAACACTAAAATGCTTACACTACAATATTGCACCTGAAGCAGATCTCGATAGAGATTCGAAAATGTTTGTTCTTGCATCTAAATAAGTACCTTACTGGAAATAAAAAGGTTCTGAAAGGGTTAACTACAAATAACAAACAACAAACAGGAAGTGCATGAACAATTTGGAATGCTTTAAAACATTTTTTAAATAACTATTTTAATAATTTTATTTACTGATAACAAAAAATTATTTTTACTTTATTCAGGCTTTGGGCTTACATTCTCACGATACACAAACATCAGAAGAAACGGATGTCGGTGTTAGTTTGGAAAATATTCCATTTTATTTATGGAAACAATTAGGTGTTCTTGGAGCTATTTATTGCCTTTTTGTCTTTGAAACAATTATGGAAATCTTCTCAAGCAAGGATGATCATGAGGTGAATTATTTCTATACTTTAGGTAATCATTGTTTTTTCTTGTGAAAGAATACATTACAGGCATATTTTATTATAATGAATTACAAATAAAATTTATTTTAAGTACCCATGGGTAGTCCCGAGTCTTCATCCCCTTTCTGCTATAATGTATTGCTAAAATGTGGTGTCATCCTGTAGGGACTAAATTGTAGATAGAGAGTTTTCTGCAGAAATCACATAATCATGGGCACAGTCATGTTCCTGATAAAATACCAGAAGAAATAAGGTTAAAATCAGTTAGTGTGAAAACAGAATCTACCACAAACTTGGTAAATTTTATTTATTATTTTAAATTCATTAACATTTAAAATTTTAAAATAAAATAATAATTAAAATATGTATAGTACATATCCCAAATAAATAATTCACATTAAATGAATGAATAAAATATCATCTATAAAAAAAATGTTATTTGTCTTTAGAAGCATTAAGTTATGTTTCTCTGAAATAAATTTTTGTCACAGAGCACTTTTTAATGTCTTGTTTGTTTCCTTAGATTTCAGGTAGTTATTTAATTTATTATTTGGCCAAGAATAGAAGTCCAATCCCAAAAGCAATTAGGTTTGATTGCCTGAACAGATTTGTACAATAATATTGGGAAATATTCCCTCAAGAAATCAGTAAGTGTTCTTGGGCTAGTTTTTTTCCCATTCCAATCCCTGGCACACCAGTATTTTTGTGAAATTAAGTAAAAATAATTATAAAAACAGAGAGAATGGAGTTCAAATGCATTTTTGTTTTTTAATTTTAATTTGTAGATTGAATTAATAAGGAAATATAATAACAAAGTTTGGTTTTAACCGTTTTGAGAAAAATGAGTTAACTCAAAGCCTGGACTTGGAGTTAGAGTTTAGTTTCCAATTTTTTCGAATTTTCTGTGGCTGTAAATTTCCCATTGTGGCTTGATCAAGCCATGTTTCTTTAGTTTCCTTTCCTTTTATTTTTTTCTTTTAAAATCTATTATTTCCGGTCTTTGTCTATCTAGCCTTGTCTTTATTGGTTGGCCTTAAGTGGCTCTTTCAAGAAAAAAGGGTCACCCGATTGGTTGGGGAAATTAATGAGTGAAGGTGTATACAAAGGAGGAGGATGACGAAAGAAGGGTTACTTTTGAGTCAAGTTTTTGAAGAGGGAGGGCGAAATCCAGTTGAATTGTCGAAATTTGGAATAAAAATGGAGGTGTAAATTATCAGGTCTGGAGAATAATTCTCTAGGTGAAAAGGAAGAAAAATAGTTATAAAAGTTTCGATGTACTTTTTGTCCAAATCAAGGACTAACTGAAACAAGAGATTTATAAGAAGTAGAACGTGTGCAATGAGAAGACTAACTCGCAATTACTCCCATTTTATCAAAAAAAAAAAAAAATAGGAAAAATCCCCTGATGTTTATTTCTGCTAACTGTTTCTTTCTCTAAATTTATTTATCATCTAACCCCTATTTTTCCAGGACCCAACTAGTTGTAATATTAGTTGAAGTTAAGAGATAAGTTTAGGTTAAGTTGTTTTTGTTTGCAAGAGATGTTTCGGTCATTTTGTAATTTTTCCGTTCCAACTTCTGTATATATGTAAATAATTGTCCAGTGGAGTTGTCGGAATAATTCTTATTTTTGAAGTATTAAAATCCGCTTTTCTTTTTATCTACACCGAGTGATTCTTTAGAGCTTTTTTCCCCTTGGTAACACTGTCTTCAAGCCATTTCTCAAGAATCTATTCACAGAATGGATACAAAATTGTATAGAGTTTATGGTGCTTTTGAGTGCATTGTCAAGGCACTCAACACCTTGTGTCTCAATCAGAATGCTGGTAACATACTATAAAAGGATGCCAAACACTAGGTTGTAATAGATGTGTGGTTCAGCATGGAGCCATAGTGTTTGTTTATCTTAATTGTCTGTGTTCATGTGGAATGTAAGAGAAAATAGTTTTGAGTTAAAAGTACTGACAATTTTGACTTAATGAGATATGTGGAAAATGTATATATTATGCCCAGGACCCAGTTAATACAACTTCAACTTAGCAAGGTTTTACTTTATGCATTTGATATTAAATATATTCTGTACTGTTAAATCTCTGAAGATGGAATTTTTCTAGCAATTGTGATTTGTTAAGATAAATCAAGATGGCTAGAAAAAGTAAAAATAGATTAAAATTTAGAACATATGCTAAATAGAAATACAATAGTATTGATTAAAGCAGTATTACAAATATATGTTTTACAAGAAATCTAAATAACTGGGTGGATCCAGGGGGTGCAGAGGATGCATATGCACTTCCTAAAATTCTAAGTAGAAAAAAGTTTTCTGTAGTAGAACTACAGTACAAAGGATATTGATATTGATACGAAGTGCAACTCCTAAATGAAATTCCTGTATTCACCCCCTGCATATAAATGAACAATATACAAATGAAATAACACTAAAAACAGTGTTTTAATGGTGCATTATTTTTTGAACTCTGGATAGATAGATAGATAAGAAAATATCCAACAGAACTAGATATAAACAAAAAGACAAAAACAGTTCATTTGAAGAACATTAAATGTAATTTAGAATACTATAATTTACTTAATAGTTAATAATAAGAAAAAGATTTAATACTAATTCTAAAAAAGTTTAGGGATATAAAATAGATTTTAGCAAATAAAAATTTTAATAAGTTAAGATTCAAATATATATATACACTCATGTTTGTGAAAATTGCAACACCATGAAGGAATTGTCAGAAGTTAATGAAATTTATTCCACATATTACTGATAGTGGTACAAATAAATGATCAAATTTACAAGACAAAAAACAAAAAGAACATCGGAAATCAGTACTTTGTGTGTCCGCCACACTGAGCAATGAAAGCCTGTACACGTTGTGGCATTGAATCATACAGGTTCTGAATGTAATCCTGGGGAATGGCATTCCAGATGGCTTTGGCTTGATGCCAAAGTTCAGTCTTACTGTGTGCCCCACCAGCTGTACGAGCGAGTCACCGACCAATGAAATCCCAGATATGCTCGATGGGTGACATATCTGGGGAATAAGCAGGCCATGGAAGAAGCAAAACCTGTTGTGCACTGAAGAAGGCTTGTGCAGTCTGACAAACATGTGCATGGGCATTATCTTGCTTAAATACAGCACCCAGAATGCGTCGAAGAAGGGGAGGACCTCTGGCTCCACAATTTCCTGTATGTAGTGATTACTATTGAGGTTGCCCACAATGTGCACTAGATGGGATCGACAATTATACTCAATAGCTCCCCACACCATGATGCCAGGCATTTGTGTGGTATGGTGCTGGATAACACACTGTGAGAGCAGATGTTCCCCTCTGTAACGTCTGACACATACTCTTCCAGCATTGTACTGCAGATTGTAGCGAGATTCGTCGGAAAAAACAACTTGTTGCCACTGGGCACACCACGCACTGTGTTGCTGAGCCCATTGAAGTTGAAGGCATCTGTGAATCAGTGAGAGGGGAATCCTGCGTAGAGGAACCCTTGCACACAGTTCATGCTGCAGAAGATGGCAATGAACCGTGGAGCTAGACAACAAAACATCTGTAGCTGTGCTCCAATGTTGTGCTAACACACGAGATGACGCTGTATGGTCCATCACAGCCATGTGGATTAGGTGTCTGTCATCCCGTACCATTGTGCTATTGCTTGCCCCACTGCCAGGTTTTCGTCTTATTTGGTTCTCCTCTGTCCATTTCTTCCAAACATGCATCACTGTTGTAACATTACACTGCGTGCGGGATGCGATTTCTTGATACGAAAATTCACCCTCTCACATACCAATGATGCGGCCTTGTACAAACTCCGTTAGTTGTTGGTATGGCTTTCTCTGCTTTTGACGAGGCATATTGACCACCAATGAAACGTTTACCGCAGACAGAGGAATTAAAACGGATTTCAATGCATCTTTACAGTCCTTTATATACCTGGAACAAGCGGCTGATAAGGAGCTGGTTTTCGTTCCACGCACATGCAATTGCTTTGTAATTCTATTCATTTGCATGTCTTACCTCACTTTACATTTCCTGTAAGTTTGGTTCAATTTGCACAATTCCTTCATGGTGTTGCAATTTTCACAAACATGAGTGTATAACATGTATATCTACGGGGTGTTCATAAAGATAGTTTGCCTATTTAGAGCAGTCTAAGAGAAAACTTCTTATTGGATTTACAAAAAATTTTCAGTGTGTTATTGAAAGCATGAGAAGCAAGTTTATAGGAGAAATATTTTAGCTCAAATGGCTCATTTTAGTTGCCATCAGAGGAAAATTGACACTTTAATCAATGATGAAATCAAATCTAACAAGAAATCATGTTTCTAAAAGCAAACATTTAGAATGATGACTAGTTTCCAAGACAGTGCACAAGTTGTTAAATTGTTCTTTTAGAATAACAGCTCCACTAATGTTGTATTCAAGTGGTTGAGATCATTGAAGAGAATACAGAAAAGTTTGATTTCTACAACTGGGTTGCAAAACATAATTTTAAATTTTGAAGAAACAATAGATTTGTTGAATGTTAAACCTAGAAAGGATTGAAATACTGTTCATGAGTAGCTGATAGCAGATGTAACAATATTAAAGGTTGAGAACAGCATATAAAATGTGCATAGAATCAGTAGTATTTGTCGTATTGTAAGATCATTAGTTAAACCATCCTCAACAGTTCACAAAATTGTAAAAAATTATGCACTTCTGCTCTTACAAGATATTTTGTGTTCAATAACTTTTATCTTCTGATCCAGATGCTAAACAGACATTTGCATTGCAATTCTTAGCTAAGAGTAATGTGGAGAGTGATTGGCCATGGAACATTCTTTTGACAGATGAAGCTTTTTCCATCTGTATGTCATTCTAAACCTGAAGACGATCTTTTAACAATTAAACTTTTGGTTCATAAACTCTAACCAGCAATAGACTTATTATATACTAGCCACTGGCTAATACATTATAAGTCTTGTTGGTCTAATGTTTAATTAAACTGAAATACAGACAGAAGGTGTGGATATTGACGTTTTAACAAGGTTGAAAAATTTTTAAGTTAATAAGTAATTTGTGCCAGAATAAAGGTTTATATGCAAGGAGTATTAAAGGATATTGTCTATTGGGAAGTCAAAAACACTGGTGGATCTTAACAATATGGCACAATACAGTTTTTTAACGTTTCACAAAAGACTTTGTGATCAACAATTGAGCCTTCTATCATGAGGTTTCAAATGATGTCAGAAATGGAGGTGACATATCAAACATGTTGTTTTGAGACATATTGAATAATCACTTAGTATGGATATTTTTCCCACTGGCAACTTATGGAATTAAGTATTCTTCCTTAAACTTGCTTTCCATGATTCAATAACACAGAGCAAAAATTTGTTGTAAATTTGGTAAATAGGTTTGGCTATAGACTGCACTAAATAGGTGAGCTTACTTTATAGATATCCTATAAATAAAACAATTATTTTATAAAATTTTATTAAATTTAAAAAGTGAATATCTTATATTTAGGCAAATGCACAAGCTCAGAATGTGTCACTCTCTATGGATGGTTTATCTTCAAAAGATATGACCACTCAGGAACCTGTGTTCAAGTCCAAAGCTCTTTGTTGTGGTTAGTTTTTTTTTATACATAATACCATAATAATAATAATAATGATAATAGTAAATATCATAGTCTATTATTAAGTGTTTAACTTCTAAAATTTTTACATTTTTACAATGATAAAATTTGTTCATTTAAGAATGCATTTATATTGATTTTAAAAAGCTGTTGACTAACAAACAATATATTAAATTCAAAGTTTTAAATTTTCTTATTGATATTGAATTTATTACATGTTGATGAAAAATTATTTGTTGCAAATATTACCTTCTTACAATAATTTTTCAAGGGTAAGAAGTATATATAACAGAGCCGAGAAAGTAATAAAAATGCACTTCTTACTTCTATTCTTACCAAATATGGTAATGGGTCGAAAAATGACCCTTGAAGTTTTTTACATTTTTGGACTAGGAACCTCAAAATGTTGAGAAATAAAAAATTTCAGGGTTTTTTCTATATATATGGATGTTAGTGTGTGTGTGTGGGTGGGTCACAATTTTGTTCACTCTGTTTGAAGCTTAATAATTCCCGTGCTTTTTGTCAAAAATTTCTGAAATTTTGCAGATAGGTTTGTTTATTATGGGGATTGATGCTATAAAATTTTGGTGGTTAAAGGTTGAGGAGTGGTGAGCTGGAGGGGACTCGTGTGTCAGCCCTAGAGTAGGGTCGGACTTAATGAAGATTTTACTGGTTATTAGCATTTACAATTTTTTATAAAACCCATCCCTACCCTCAAAATTAAGCTTTTGCCATTTANTCAGTGTAGTAGCCTATTTATATGTAATAAATTGCAGTTTTTTGATTTATTCTTCTTGATTTCTCTACTACTACTACTACTACTACTACTACTACTACTAGTTATGATTATAGTTTAAATATGCTACTTTGCATATCTGTTGAGTGATTTTTGATATATATCATAGGTGATGCAATTTCCATCGCTACTACTATATATAAAAAGATTCATATTCTCAATCTACGATGTTGTTATTTTATTGCAAGCTAATACAATAAAAAAAATCAAACATTTTAATCAAAATATACAAAATTTAATAGATACAAACAATAATATATGAAAATTAATTAGATGATGCTAATCCAGCAACAAATTACTTAACTTTCTGGCAATATTTTGCCAGAAAAGTTAAGCAGTTTGTTGCTGGATTTTTTTTAAAGAGAGAATCCAAAATATGAATTGTTTGTTATAAAAATTAAAGATGTAGTCTTTTAATAAAATATCATAACAGACAGTGCCAAATGCAGTATAAAATGTTGCTGGGGAAGTTAAGCAGTTTGTTGCTGGATTTTTTTTAAAGAGAGAATCCAAAATATGAATTGTTTGTTATAAAAATTAAAGATGTAGTCTTTTGTTTAAATAAAAACAAAATCGATTATTAACAAATTTATATAATGTGGAAATATTTAGCTTTCTTAGAGATGGTTAAAGCTGTCTTATCCAGCTTCTTTCTGATAACAATTAAAATTCCATTGCTAGCTTTGAGACCATCACAAGTTCACCATTTCTTATTATTCAAATTTTTCAGGATTATTTTTAATTCCTTAAGCTCTGTGATGGCACTGTAGTTTTGTAGTTTCATAGTGCTTTTCCTCAATCAGTCATTAATTTTTCCCTGTTATTTTCTCACGAGCATTCATCAGGTTTATTTGTGGATTTAGGTTTTGTGGGCAAAATAGAGGAAAAACTGTAATAGAAATCAATTAAGTATCAATTTTCATAAGAAAATAAGGAACTGGTGTGGTTAAAAAAATCATCATAATATAACAAAGTATTATCTAACAACTAAATTTATATTTTAATATTGAAATATGAAGCAGAAACAGGGATGGTGAGAAAGAAATATAGAGTGAGAGTGAATCTTGTTAAAACAATATTTTTAAGAAGTGTATTAAAAGAGAAATAAGGAAGAAAAAGGATATGAAGAAGTATAAGAAAAATAGATATAGAAAATTTAAGGTAATATAAATGCATGAAGACAATGATAGACAACATTATCAAGAAAAATGTACATACTGATAATACAGAGAGAGAGAGAAATAAGAGAAATCAAAAATAAGATGGAACAAAATGGAACAATGGAATAAATTAATCTTTTGTCCATTAGGGAAAATGCAAACAACACATTGATTGAGTGATTAATTACTATCTTGACAAGAGTTTATCTTTGGAGTGATAACTACAAGGGCAAGTCAAAAAAAGAGTGAGAAAGAATTTATTACTCACAAAAAGGCAGGGTTCTTTTTGTGAGTAATAGCCTTGTTCAAAGTTGATATGGTGTTTTTCAAAGTAGTCCCCATTAAGTTGTATGCACTTGGTCCAATGTGCGTGCTAGTCCTGGAAAATTGCTGGAACTTATCTTTTGGCAACATCTTCAGAACTACTTTTGACTTCTTCAGAACAGCCTTTGATGAGTGAAAAGACTGGCCTCATATCTCCAATTTCAGACAATGGAACAAAAACATCACATGAAGCAAGGTCCAGGCTGTATAGAAGGTGTGGCACACGTTCGATGATTTTTAGGCCAAATATTGGGCAACAACATTAGTAATATAAGGGTTTTTATTATCATGGTTTAGATGCCAACCAGATGGACAAGTTGTTCAGGGTTTTTTTGCCTGATGTGTTTAGCCAGAGTCTTAAAAATTGCCATTTAATACTGCCCAGTAACATGTGACAATTGTTTGCATTGGAACTTCATATTGGCACCATTCCACAGTAGTCAAAGAAGGAAATCACCATTACCTTTCTCACAGAGTGAACAACCTCAACCTGTTTTGTCCATGGAAAATGTGTATCAAACCATTGAACATTAAATATGAACCATACCTTCTATACAGCCAGGACCTTGCTTCGTGTGACTTTTGTTCCATCGTCTGAAGTCGGAGCTGCAGAGCCAATGCTTCGAGTGATCACTGGCTATTCTGAAGAAGTCAGAGGTGGTTCTGACAATGATGGTTCAAACATCGGTTCCAGAACATCTGGGACTGGCAGACACATTGGATGAAGTACATACAACTTGATGGGAACTACCACAAAAAAGGTTGTATCAATCTAGACCCTGCCTAATGTATTTTGTGAGTAATAAATTTATTCTCACTGAAATCCATCTAATAAGTGTTGACAAATATATCACACTAACCTTATAATGCTTTGCAGTTATTCTCACTGTTTTTTGTCTTACTCTCACATAAAATTGTACAGTGGTACCTCGGTATACGTCTGCTTTAGAATACGTCCAATTCGGAATACGTCCTGTTTGGACAAAACAAATTTTGCTCGGTATACGACTTAAGTCAATTATATGCGCCATCTACGAACAAGTAGCACTATCGGTGTACTAGACCAGACTAGACGTTCGCGATGCCACAGTTTATAACTTTATTAAATTTCTTTTTATTTTAATTTGTAAGTAAAATATTATTTTTATTAATCATGAATTGCAAAAAGGCAACAGAAAAATAAAAAAAATGACTAAAATCACAATGGAACTGAAAAAAGAGATTGTTGAGAAATATGAAGGTGACATGCGTGTTCGAGATTTAACTGTTGCCTACCGTATTCCAAGAACGATGATATTGACAATTGTGAAAAATAAAGACATTATTAAATTTGCTGACATTGCGAAAGGGGTTAAATCAATTTCTAAACAGAGATCGAAGACATTAGATCATGTTGAGAAATTGCTTTTGCTTTGGATAACTGAAAAACAGTGTGCTGGCGACAGCGTATCAGAAGCAATTATTTGCGAGAAAGCTAAAAAGATACACGCTGATCTCGTGAAAAATCAAGCAGGAACTAGCCAGGAAAGCGAGGTGTTTAAAGCCAGCCATTTTTTTTTTTACATGAGAACGGATTAATTATTTTTACATTACTTCTTATGGGAAAGGTTGGTTTGGTATATGTTCTATTTGGTACAAGTCCAAACACCGGGAACAGATTAAGGTCGTATACCGAGGTTCCACTGTATTTAAAACCAAAGAAATCAAATAAAACATTGAATGTGGCAAAGAACTTTTTAAGAAATACTTTGTTATGAAGACATAGCAAGGATGAAGTTCTTATTTTCTTTTGAAGAAATAATAATAATAAGTATTTAATAGAATATGATTTTAAAAAATATTGAATAAATAAAATAATTAATTTTGTAGTTAAATTGTTTATATAATAAATATTAATATCTACACTTAGTCAAATGATAAAATATTATTCATATTCCAAAAATAAAGGAGAATTAATTTTCTATAACAGCGATTCCCAACCAGGAGTAAGCACTTGGTGGTTTTGGGTATGCAAAAAATAATAATGGCAGATGTAATATAAGGATGTTCAGATTCTGCATTGAGGCCTTTGGCGACATTACGGCACTCAATGCTTAGTTTTGCATAAAAAATTTAATTACATTTTTATTATATATTTCTGTGTCCTTCTTTCAACACTTTTCAATTTAAAAATACTTCTTACATGTAATTGTACAGCATTGTATAATTGACCAAGGTGGTACTGCTTGACAAACACACAAAATAAAACTTAGGAAAATGGGCTGCCAAGAAGTATGCAAGTCAAAAAAGGTTGGGAACCACTGTTCTATAAAGTCATAGATAATATTAGTAATGATAATTTCTTATCACAGGATTAACATCTTTAGCATTGGTTGTGACTCTTGGTGATGCAGTACATAATTTTGGAGATGGACTTGCAATTGGAGCAGCTTTTTCTACTGGATTGCAAGGAGGTCTTTCCACATCATTAGCTATTCTCTGCCATGAACTTCCTCATGAATTTGGTAAGAAAATCATAAATTTATTCAAAATTTATTAATGAATATGTTTTGAAAAACTTTTTTAATTTTTTAGTTACATTACTTTCTACCATAAAAGTGATTATATTATTATATATATAATAACAAACAGCTACTGTCAATTTTTCCTTTAATTAAATTTTAAATATTTATTTTTATTCAATAATATCTAAAGTAAAAATTCTTATTTCATGTTTGCATATTCATATACTAGTTTGCCATAAACTTGGTATGATTATTATTGTGTTAATGTGCTGTCACATACAACAGAGCTTTGGCAGAAATTAAAATTATATTGTTTGTTTAAATTTTTCAATAAATATTTATAATTTTTTTTTTTTTGTAGGTGATTTTGTAGTTTTAATATCTACAGGACTTAGTTTTTGGAAAGCTCTTTTAATAAATTTTATATCGGCATTATCGTGTTTTGTTGGACTTTACATCGGTATTCAATTAGGAGAAAACGAAGTAGCAAGAAACTGGATATTAACTGCAACGGCTGGAATATTTTTATATGTAGCTTTAGCTGATATGGTAAATTTATTCTGTTATTAAGTTTTTAGTAAATTTATTATTTCTGAAGTATAAATTTATTTGTTTATTTTATAGCTTCCTGAACTAAAACAGTCAAAGCATGGAAGTCCTGTCAAAATGTTTATTGTGAAAAATGTTGGTGTATTAGTTGGAATATTTCTTATGTTGTTAATAGCAATATATGAAGATCACTTCCACATATGAAAGAAAGGAATCTGTGAATAAACTGAGGTAATTTATTTTTATAATCTATAGATTCTAAACAAATATCAAAATGGCTTTATCAAAATTGTTTGTTCTTCTCATAATTAATGTTCAATATTTAACTTTAGTAACTAACATACTTAATATGGATTTTTATATTTAAGTTAATTTAGAACTTTCAAAATTGCTAAAATATATTAATTACACTAGAAAATTACATCTTTAACACAAATCATCTTCAGGAATTATATGTGTGATGCTCGAAGATGGTTTACATTAAAGATATAACGTGCAAAACACTTCACATGTATGAACGTAAACAATGACCAGGCCCAATTTATCAGTACCTAAATATCAACTACTGAATTTTTGGCTATACTTAAAGTAATGATAATGCTATGTAATTTGGCCTATTTTTAGATCAAATTATGTAGTAATATATTAGCTTATTTATTATGTAGTATTTATATTAGCTTAATTATAGTTTGAAAATCTGGTAGTTGATATTGGGTATATTTGAATAGTAAACTATTCACAAACATTTACGATTTTCTAACTCCCATCATTCATAATACTTAGGTTGTTGTTGAATTATTTTGATCCAACTTTGTTGTTCTAGAAATGAATACTCTATGTGTTAAATATTACAAAAACATGCTTCTTTGTCAATAAGTTATGCAATACTGCTTTGTACTGATACCAAAAACAAACTTTAATGAAAATGCTTTTGGCTCCAGGTGAGCCATATTCAATTCATACAATTTAAACAATGTATGATGATACTTTTAACTGATGAAATATGAAACAGTCAACTATAAAAGTTTAAAAATGACTTTAAAAATTAAGCAACTTTTATTCTTTGGTTATAATATAATATTCAAATATTATTCTATTTTTTGGCTTAAGGGATATTTTCTTACATTCATTTTGATTACAGTTCTATTATGTTCTTTTCTTTTAAAGTAATTTTTAAACTTTTATATTCAAATGTTTTATTCCATATTGCATCAGTTAAAAGTAGCATTCTATATCATTTAAACTGTATGAACTGAAGATGGTCAACTGGAACCGAAAGCATTTTTATTAAAGATTTGTTTTGGAATCTGTACAGAGCAGTGTTGCATAATTTATTGATCAAAATATTGCCAAGTTTTGTGTATTTTGATACTTCTTTACAATATTTCAATTAATTTACCGTGTGAAAATTTAAAAATAAATACATATTATATTGAAAGTCATTATAACTTGAATCTTCATGATATAAACATTATGAGAAATGGCATGTTTTGATTATCTTTACATCTTAATAAGATGTTATGTTTAAAAAATAATTATTATTTTTGTAAATCTCTGATGAACGGGTTGAAAATATTACATTTGACACTAGAATCAAAACTGGTTTTTAATCTTTTTGCCAAGAGACTTATCCTTTTAAAACAGGGACATTCACAAGTAATAAAATTTAAAAATTTGGCAATTAAATTCCAGAACCAAGTCCATCATAAGCAAACATGAGTATGTTGGAAGTATTCAAAGTGTCTGTGATAATCAGTCTGATTTCACCTGTATATAAAAGTGACAGTAATATACACTAAAATTTATAGGTTGAAATGCATATTACTTCTGCTTGTGACCAATTGTTAGTAACATCTATTATGCCACACATGTTCAATAAAATTTTATAACTTTCTTTTCTATCTAGTCAGTTAATATTAAATTTATTTCTACATATACAATTGTTTACAAGATGTTTAAAGATGACTGGGTTAGATTTTACATTATTAATTTAATAAATATAACTTAATAAAATATTTTAGCTGGGACATAAGTAAAAATTTTTAAAAATATAAATATAGCATTTACAATAATTTTAATCCAATTAATTCAAAGGATTTTGAAAATTTGAAAAATGAGAGGTTTCCATTGGCAATGCAAAACATATTTGTTTGTGGTACTTCGAAAGAATGTAAGTTAGACAGTTTCAAATTTAAAACATTTGAATTTTTGCATATTTGTTTCTAATTGGATGTCGGGATGATACTTCTCACATGAACTGTACTGTACATGCACAAAAAAGATTTACTGCATAGACAGCAGAAATGGACTATAGATCATTTCAAAAAAGTAGCACTTGCAGTTGTACAAACAAGCACTTATTTAGTTCCGAAAGTAATGGTCAAATCTGCAAACTATGCAGTAAAAATCATAAATACATATTTTAATGCATTTTTAAAAATTCATATAAAATACACTTTGGACAATTTTAATTTGATGCGCTTGGACTTGCAAGCATATGAATACGAATATACAGATTACTAATAACTTTTATTCTTTAACTCCTGAATACATATATCCAGGAGTTAGAGAATTGACATATCTAGTTGCAATTGAAACTAGACAGATCTTCAGTGAATAAGGGCTATTATAAACAAATTTTGGATGAAGTCAAATTAGCCATTGCAGTCGACTTAATGTAAATAATACAACTTTAAAACAGTGGTAATAGTTTTGGAATGCTTACCACTCTTAATTAAACATTAAATAAGGCAAGAACACATTCCAAAACTGCTTCTTATTCACTTTTTAAAATGTTTGTACCATCTGTGCTATCTGATTAATAGCATAATAAAATGTTTTTATTGTTCAAATCCAGACTCGTTGCATTTTACGTGTCGACTGATAAGCCAATGCCTTAGCACTGTCAAGTTTAAAGCTTTAAAAGAAAGTTTTATCGAATATTGAAAATTAAGCTAAAATGGATAAGATATACTGTATTTTGGAATGACACACCTCAAATGATTCATATTGACTGCAATAAGGCTAATTAATTTACAATAAATTAAACAATTTGGACTAGCGGTAGATGGTTAAGTTGCCATCTCTTGTTAAATTTAATAATTAGAAATAAATATATTAAATTAATTTATTTCTAATTATTAAATTTTCATCTACCTTTAGTCCAAATTGTTTAATATCTTGTGAATTAATTAGTCTTATTGTAGACTGATATGAAATTGGCTGTATCATTTAGTTAGTAATGTTTATTGAGTTGATTGTATATGTACCATGTAATTGATACTGTTAAAGACACAAAACTTGATAAAGACAATTGCTTTATCAAGTTTTGGGTCCTTTATTAAAAAGAATTACCAAATAAGGTTCATTTTTAGAAAAAGGAATTTGATTTCGTTGTAGCAATCTGCTGTTTTTATTCTACAATGATTATTTTGCAAAGTATACGATACAGAACTACATAATCATAATTATTTTTGTGATTTATCTCTCAATTTTTGAAAATCAAATTGATGTCGAGAAAACAATAATTTGAAGACGTGGGGAGCATAAAATGTAATGTAACAAAGAAATTTTAGCTCATAAATTTAATTGAATGTAAAGTTTCCAACAATTTTATAAGCAATGCAAAAATGTATAGTTTTTAAATAGATTATTCTGAATAGTTCTGATATAAATAATAATTAAAGTAACCAAATAGTCTGATTTAAGATACAAAGTTATTCTTAATATTGTTAAAGTAAAATTGATAATAATTCATTTATAAATTCAGTGAAGACCTTGTATATTTTGGCATTAATTAATACATTGGCTTTTATCTCTCATTGAACAAACCTTGATGTAACAATTAGATAGTTTCCTCTCAAAAAATCAAAATCTTTTCATACAATGTTGAATGTAAAACAAGAGATTTAAGAATAAAGTCTCATTTTATTTAATATCAGATTATAGAGAATTGTCATATTTTATAATAACGCATTAAAAATGAATAAAGCAATTAATAAATTAAATCTGAAATTGATATGGAATTTAATTACATTTCATTAAAAAAAGTCCTCTTGAAATACTAGGTTAGTCAGTTCTAAGATTAATAAAAAAATATACCTTACAATTCTGTATTAATCTAAGTCTAAATATTGTTTTGGCTAGTCCCTTTAGTAGATACTAATGTTGGACGGAATATTCGATATTACTCAGTATTCGGGTATATCTGGCCACAAAATATTTGGTATTTAGCCGAATACTTAACACGCGTACTTCGTATTCAGACAAAATACTTCTTCAAAGCCAAACTATTGGGCTGAATGATGTCATTTTAATTTTGGGAGAGAAAGAAAGAAAGAGAAAACCAAGAAAAAAGATAAAACACAAATAAAATGGAAATAACATTTAATTAAAATCTCAGGTGATTTTAATTAAATTGTAAATGCGGAAACAGTAATGTTTCCGCATTCACAGAAAGTAAGTGATTTTATTGCTTGTCATAAATACTTCCAGCTTTGCCAAACTTACTATACGTTCACTAAATACACACTTTGGGGGCTGCCAAAAAAGACAGACCCGAATGGAAAGATTTAATTTCTCTACTTTTCTTAAACACAATGTAGTGCAAATGAAAAGTAAGCAGACACGATTCTAAACGACTTTAAGATTTAATTTTTTTACATTTTATTACATAATAATTTTAAAAAAGTAAAGATCATATATAAACTTTATTATTAAATAGAAGACACTGTATTCTACCTTATTCCATGTCTTCGAGTCTAAGCCTTCCTTTTGAGCAGTTCAAAATAAATCGGCCGATATTTGGCCATACATTCGGTAGTCGGAAAGACAAGAACATTCGGAGTTTGGCAACAATAACATCTGAATAATTATTCACTATTTGATATTTAACCAAAAATATCTATTTAGTCCATCCCCAGTGGGTACTGTCCATTGTTTCCGGCATAACTGGTAATGCATCTACATAGTAAACAAAAGTTGTAGGTTCACGTCCTACTCTGGATCAATATTTTATTTCAGAATTTTCTAAATTATTTAATTAAGTTTCAAAAATTAGTTAAACAAATTAATCATATAAGTTGAAATCTAGTTAGATAAGATTTTATATTGTTAAAGTTGTATTTTTTTTCCTGGAATGCCTGTTTATTGAAGAGTTGCAGTAATGGAATAGTGTGATTAATTATTATTATAAATATTTACAAAATAAATAAAAGCGTGTAGATATAGCATATTAGAAACTAGGCAGATTCTTCCTATACGCCACTCTGGGCACTCAAGTTATAGATTTATCTCACGCACTGTATTTATTCTTCCAATATTATTTACTGATGATAAAAATAACACATAATTAATATACAATGCCTTTAAAAGCTAGAGATTATTTTAATGAACAAATATTTTCATCTCGGGTAAATTTTCTTCGGGTACAAACGAAATTGAATTCGACAGTCCCCGGTTATATTGTTTATCTGGATATATCACATTACTTTTTGCATTCCATACATAAAAGCACTTTAGCCAATAATGGATAGATCACAGGTTATATCATACCATTCCATATATGGCTTACTGGGTTTGAGCATTGTACCCGCACCATATAACGAGTGGCTACCATACTACTAAATAAAATTAAACACTAACATTTGAGAACAGTTTTAATAATTTTTCCTCTGATAAATATTTTCTTTTCTTATATTTAGTATTGAAAGAGGATACCGATTTTATAGCCTAAAGCTTAGTTCCTGCAGGCAGGTTTGAAAGAATACAACAGACAAGGCTGTGATAATCATCCACTTATAACATTAATCAAGATTTCCATTGGGTATGGGTTTATTGTTTGTAAATAATTTCTATAGTCACAATTGAAATCATTTGTATTTTTTCATAAATCTGAAAAGGATATAATTTTATATATATGATTGTTAACTAAAAAAAAAGTGTTCTACAAGTATGTTTCTAGCCAATTGTTGAAAAATCTGTTATGTAATTGCTTGTTTTCTATATTATCGAATCTTTGTAAGTAGAAATTATCTAAAATGTTAACTTCTACAGATAATATAATCTGTATGAAATGTAAATATATTTTGTTAAAACAATCTAATAAATCCATTTTTAATAAAGATGCGAAATGATGATTTTTTAAATTTAATTGAAGCTTAATATTTCTTTCCAGGTAATTATTAAATAACCATCACATACAGACTGTTCCATATTTAAATTAATAATTCTTTCCAAGTGTTCGCGCAGATTTTTAAATGCATAAACATGGAAACTTAAAATCGCATATATGACCTGCACCACTCTAACTTCTTTTTGCATCTACTTAATTTGAGTTATAAACAAAAATTACCATACAATTAAGCTGTAGGTAATAACAATTTAAATATTTTTTAGAAAAATACTTTTTCTTCCTTACCAAAATAATGATGTATTTATTATTTGTTTGCATGTAATCATTTACTGACTAATTTACATCGTCGTTAAAAGGATAAACAACTAAGAAAAATCTTCCTAAACATAATACAAAATTTCCTTAGATTGTAATTGAAGCGGTGCGAGAGAGATTATTAATTATAAAAATTAAATATATAATAAATTAAAATATTCTCCAGTATAATAAATTAACCGGTTTACTACGCAACTAATTAAAAGTTTAAAATTTCGCCATTGTAATGAGTTAATTTTTTAATTAACCCGTTATTTTTAGACGGACAACAATAAACAATGGCAACAATCGCGCTTTTACCTATTATTAAAATTAAAAATAGTCATAAAAAAATGCTTTAATAATAAATTAATAATTGACGAAACCGAGAAAGACTTAATGGAAATACCGAAATGAGATATCCAGAGATATACGTACTTCTAATGAGATATATTTATCAAAGTTATTACTAAAAGAAAGAATAAATTATATCTGCCAAAAATCACAATTTATCATAATATGAAATACATAACACGAGAATTCTTTCGTCTTAAAAGATCGAATTTCCGTATTAACTAGTGTAATGAATGTTTTTAACAGTACTTTTCTATATAGTACATATAATAATTATATAAAAAGTTTTTTAAATATCTTAACAGATGGCGCCACGGGCAGTTTTACCTGTTGCCGGGAAAGTTAAGTAACTCGTTATTTTATTCGTGATCGAGTTAATTGAACATTTTTTATAATACGCGTCTTGTGATACGTCACAACGTTCGAATTCCCTCCGTCACGTATTATCGCGTGTTTATCCCCTCCTAACTACAGTGTGACGTAGTCAATTTGCTGGCAGACAGACGTATTGTACGTATGCATCTCAACCTATATCTTTTAATATTTATGACTGTAATTTTAACACGCGTAATGTATATTTCTGGCATCTCCATATTTTAAGAGAACTTCTTAAACAATTAAATACAGTAAACAAATGATTTTTTTCTTTCGTCCGTCGATTCGTACAGGATGATATAAATTGCGTTTCTTCCGACGAATCTATTCACTTTCTTCAATAACAAGAACGACGGGCGGTCTGTAATTAAAATGTTTTTGATTTTGTAAATTTGTAACAGAAAAGAAATTTCTACATACCGAGAGATAATGCGCAATGGCCTAAGCTGTTATCGACAATAGGAAACAATACACTAGACGATTAATCAAGCGGCCGAAAGACAGAGCGAGATAGGCTCCGACCGAAACAATTCGTAGAAGCGATACTTTTACCACCTTTATGCTACTCGGATGTGCCTGGCCATTCCGCCGCCCCGTTGTGGATCTTATCGAACTGGTGACCAATATGATTGAAGATTATGGCAAAAAAGGGGTTAAAAAAGCAAACGAAACCTACCAACTTTCGAGTGGTTAATGTATTTTTTCCTCTCTCTCTCTTCGCTCTGTGAGCATTAAATATAACAGAAGGAAAGTATTACGGTGGATCAAAACATGGCCCCCACGATTCTTATATTTTTGGACTCGGAGGACCACGAAACGTTGATAAATGCAAAATATTTCGGGTATTTTTTCTGTGTGAATGGATCTTACTCCGTGCGAGACACTATTTTGTTCGCCAACTTTGAAGCTTAATAACTCTCGTGTCTTTTGTCGAAAATTTCTGAAACTTCGCAGGGTGGTTTGCGTGTAAGGGAAATCGATGCGATTAAATTTTGGTGGTTAAAGGTTGAGGGCATGGGGAGATAAAGGGAAATCATATACTGTATTCGTTACGCCGAATACAGTATATGAAACGCGAACGAATCGTGCACAACACTACTAATATAAAATTTTTAAAATCTAAACCAGGGGTGGCACGCGTGCCCAAAATTGCACGCGAGACATCGACTAGTTAAAATAGAATTTTTGATGTTTTTGATTTTTTGGGTACATGAAAGACCATCAGACTGTAAACAGCATAAAGGGTTTTAATTGAAAGTAAATACAAAACTAAACATACTATATTAATCAAATGCGTATTTCGCTTTATTACTACCGTAATAAAATATAGTACGTTTGGAAAATGTTTCTTATACGCTATCTCCGATGGTATTATAATGTAAATGTTGACCGATAGTGTCGTCATTACATACTTTCGAGAACACTATTTATCTTACGTACTATTTGTCTTTGTATCGCGCTCGACCAATTATCGAGCGCGATACAAAGACAAATAGTATGTAAATGACGGGCACGTGATCTTCGCGAATTAAACAGTATTTAAATAACGGGAATATGTTTTTCGTATTTAAATGAACTTGGAAGTTTTTAAATTTGTGAAAAGAATGCCCCCGTACGTCATACTTTCCCTTTAACAATATAGTCGCGCGGGTTATCTACCTAACATCTTTCGGAGGAAATGTTCGAATTGAGGCTTCCGGTGCAAATCTGTAATAAAAACGAACACTTTTGACGGTAGAAGCGCAGCAATTTATAATATTTTTACACGAAAATATAACTTTTAAAAGCCAGAAGTTGAAATAACTCGAAGGTGAGCGACAAAAATTCCGGTAGAAGAATGTTCCATCTCCAAACGAAAATTTTTATCCATTCATTCAATTATCGAAGAATTAAGTTATTTTTTAAGGTTTTGTAACTATTTAAGCTTATCTGTACTTTAAAATTTGATACATTTTAAAACAATAAGACTTCCCGTAATCAAATCGAGCAAGAAGATTTAACGTTTTTGCTGGCTTGTTCCGAAGAATAAGTAACTCGATCGTTTCCTCCTTCTTTTCTATCTAAAATTACGTCCGAATAATTAATTAATCCACCTAAGCCATTCTGAATACGAAACATTACGTACTTTCAAAACTTATTTTTATTTATCGGTTATTTTCCTCCAGTGAATGGCTCGTACTTGAAAAAGGGGCAACGCTTTCTTCGTAAATTGTGACATTCATTGGCATATACAGTACTTGTATTTCTTTTAGCCTTATTATAAAATAGAAATTCGAGCGATAATCTGGACCCAGCAACTTGGCCAAAAGTTAGTTTAGTTTTGTCTTTTTGGCTACTAATCGAAGCAAATCCGAGTCGTAGTTAAACACAAATAAAGTAACCAGTTATTGTTGTGTAGTATGTGTTTACTTTCCACTATAGATTACGTTTAACATTTAATTATTGTACCGTGCCATTAGAAAATGCAACAGATTGCTTGGAAACGAAACTAATCTACTATTGATAGTGTTCTCTCGAACAATCTTACGCTTATTTATAGCAATTAAAACGACAACAATAGATAATCGAGCGCTATTGATAGTTTTGGGTGTCGGGGATTGATGATATACACTGTATACACGCACGCGTATAACCCTATATTTAGTAATTAACAAAACTCTCTCGGCTAATAATTAATAGACCATCGAAATACGTGTTAAGTTGCCGAGATAATTTATTTAAAGCTAAACTAACGTTTTCGGCCTATTCGATGGGCCATCCTCGGGTTAATAAGAGAGTTTTGTTAATTGTTAATGTGGCGGCACCGGTGGATTATTACAAGAAGTACAGAAAGTTAACATTAAAAGTTGTCGGGGCAGATTGCCAGTTGGAGTTTCTAAAGGAATGTTTGAAAAGGAAGGTATTCCCGATGTCATTATACAGGATCGGCGTGTATGTGCCTTCGTAAGTCTATTAGAATAGGGAAAAATAAAAAAATATGGAATCTTGCACGAACTCATCAACTTGGAAGATATTGTATACGATCCAGAAAAGTTAGTAGAAATCAACAAAGGAATAGTTGGGCTAATGGATTCAGTTCATAGGAATTTAAGGAAGAGATTCATTTGGGAACGACAGGAATAACTAAGGAATAACGATCTTTCGACATTCGTCTTTCGGGACCAAATGGAGGTTCCGGTGAAGATCAAAGAGGTAAAAATGGCCCGAACTTTGTCCCGGAAAATGCTGGATCTTGAGAAATCGAAAGAGGGATTAATGAGCCGGATTCATTAGAAAAATATTACGTCGGATGGAAAACCGTCATTAAAGACCGGGCAGGTCGGAGGAAAGGAAGCGGTACAAAGGCATCAAACTTACTAGAAGTTGGATGAGGGAAAATGATTCGGTTGCAACAAAGGCGAACAAAAGTAAGATGTTGGTTATGGCGAGAAAGCTTTGGAGGATTAGATTTAAAAAAAACCAGAATGCGAACGGTTTGACACAAAAATTATTCGGAACAACAATAGAAGAATCAAAAAACTAGAAAGAACAAGACTCTTTATTGGATTCCGACAATCTAAGGAAAGGTAACGACCTTTCCTTAGAAATTGTCGGGATCCAAGACCCGGAATACCAAGATTATTTGCGTTTGCCGAAACCCATTGTTTGCGCTATTAAACAATTATTTGTTTAACAATGTAATTTACAACGAATTTAACAATGTTTGCGGCCATTATATCGAACGGATTGTTGGCATCACCAGCAAGCATATTATCTCATTTTATTATTAATAATTTGATATTTTACGAGGAAGGTAAAGAAATAAGGCCTATAGTGGAAAGATGCGGGGGACCAACTTTTGTCCCGGAAAAAGGTTACATAAATTTCTCACCTCTCGACTCGAGAAGAGCGTATCCATGGCGCAGGATCCCCGGGTTGTGGTTAAAGAGACACGAGACCTATTGTTAATGAACGATGAGGTAGGGACGGTATTGGACTATAAAGCTTATTTCTCTCAGAATTCTTGTCGACGAGAACCCGGAATTGATTCGTTAGATACTAGACTGTTTATAATTGTATACATTTATTTAATTATTATAGAACAGTATACAGAACTTTATAAATTCTAGTTAAATATTACTTAACGCGTAACATATTGGCCTTAAGTAACATTTAACTTGAAAAATTATACTTAAAATTTATAGAAAAGTTTTAACATTCACCAACGAAGCGATTCTAATCGATTAATAAGAACGTTATTATTTATAAATTAGTTCTTAGTTTTAAAAATTTGTAATAATTTAATAATAATTAAATTATTGCAAATTTTCATTAAAAGGAAAATAATTAAATTATTATATATTAAATACTAAACTTCGTTTAAATAGAAAGAAATTGATTGGGTTTCCTGTGTTGTCAACCATTTTTTGCCTTTAATTCCAGCGAGACGAGTCTGACTTCACTCGAGACACGACACACCGCGCCCCTTTGTCTCCCCACCCGTCGACCTTTAACCACCGAATTTAATAGCATCAATCGCTGTAATATAGAAATCTCCCCGTAAAATTTCAGAAATTTTCGACAAAAAGCAGGGGAGTTACTAAGCTTTAAAAAGGGTGAAGCCTCTCGCGCCCCTCCCCACCACACACACCCGCAAAATATTGTAAAATATTTATACGGAAGAAAAAAATGAACAATTCTTTTACTCGTGTGTAAAGAAGGTATTAAATATTTGAGAAGATTTTTGAGAATATTTCGAAATCCATATCTGAAAGTGCGATTATTGGCGAATTTAAATATTTTATAATTAAGAGATAAGGAAGGAAATATCAGCCAGACCAATCTGAAAAATGTTAGGTAAATGTTAAAAGTTTGAAAAACACCGCATTAAAATACTTAATGTCTAACAGTTATTTAAATTAGGATTATTTTTTGACCTGGATATTTCCAAGTTTGTGACAGAACAAAGAGGATATTAAATGTCCTTAGACAATTCACGCGGAACGTAACGTATATAAAATTAGAAGATAATAACCCACTTTCGTCGTAATAATGGGCAAAGAAGAATACAGAAGAAGACTTTTAGTATTTTTCAGCGAAAAATTAGGTAAGTTACGAAATTCTTTTATTCTTCCTCCACACAAAAATATATTATAAATCGCACACAAAATAGACTGGTTTAATTATTAAAATATTTAAAATAAATATTAAAAAAAACACGAATACATTTTTAGATGTCGATAAAAATGGATATATATCTTGGGCGGATTACGAGTTGCTAGCATTAGTAAGTAGCTTTTCGGACATTTTAAGTTTCACCCGTGTGTTTTTTTGGAATAGATTCGAGACGAAAATGTTTTAAATTATTTTTTTAGAGAACGACGTTTCAACAGAATTTTGGTAATTACGACCAAGAAATCCATAAAAAGTATTTACAACACAGTAGACAGATGTGGGAAAGTCTGTGTACCGATCTAGGGGTGGATAAAGTAGGCGTATACGTTCGCTTTTATTATACTAATATATTTTAATAAAGGGCAGCGGGACGGGTTCTTTAATAGTAATCTTTTTTGTACAGGACGATAACGTACACTTCTTTCACCTGATCGACTTTATGTACTCCTCTACCAACAAAACCAAGAAGTTCGAAGAGCTTCCAGACTTCTTACAAAATCTGTGCGTCGAAGTGTTTCGCATGATCGATCGCAAAGGTAGGTCAATCATTAACGAATTTATTTATGGAAAAAGTCGCTTTTACTTTTTATCTCGCGATTATTAAAAAAATATAATTAGATATCATTATAGAAAATTTCATTTTATAACCCGAGGCGATAAAAAAAAAGTATATATCGCACTTGTAAAAACTTTATAACGCAACTTCTCGTCACAAAAGTAATTTGATTTTACGATGGTAATAATTACATCGGGCACAATAATACCGGCCGTGTACGGAATTAACAAGAATTTTTTACAATTTACCATTATTATAAATATGCAAAATAACTATTTGAAATTATGATAAACGAGTAACGTGTTTAAATTTTCAAAGTGATTTTTTTTGTTATTAAATTGTTTTCTTATGTTAATTTTGAGAGTGTGGAAGAAGTTTTATAATTTAAAAAGATATTTTAATCAATACAAAAAGCCTTTGTACTAAATTCAAATTTTAGGCTACTTAAAGAAACGGGACGTTTTGAGAAAATAAAACTAACTTAGTCTTTTTATATTTATCGAGTCACGCTCAATTATCCATTCGTAAGTTTTAGGTGTTTCGGATTCGTTAATATTGTGTTTTTAGTCGAAGAAGATCTATCGACAACTTCTAGAATAAGCTCCCGAATGCGGTACGTGCACTTATATTCTTATTTTCACCCACCGGCTCGGATTAAAATTATAATTTAGCTTAATCGAATTCGTTCTTCTTTCAGTTTTCTTTTATTATTATGCTACTCCACAACGTCTTTGGTTTCTTAGTATTATTTACCTTATTTGTTCCATTAATTGTATTTCCCAAATCTAATCCGTATTGTATTTTTACTATTGTACTCTGCCTATTCGTTAATAATTTTTCCGAATAACTCGTCGATCACCCCGCAGATTTTTAATTACTTTTCCGATTTAATTAAGTATTCTCCGCGCAATTATCATATTTCCTAAATATTAAAACCATTAATCATATCTGGAATAATTCGAAGAAGTCCACCTCGTCGAAATTCTAATCGTTTTAACTTTAATAATACTAATCGTGCCAGACTCTTAACGTTATAGAACGATGATTAATATTTAAAATCCATTTTATTTGTTCGATAATAACGTTTCGTTATCAATAAGGATCTACTCGATTTACCATGATTGATAATCTTCCTAATGATTTTCCGTAAAACGCATTTATTCTACAATTAATTTATTCCGTACAGCCGAAGTTTTAACCGGGTTTCGGCCGAAGTTTTCGTCTCTTAAACGCCAACGTCGAACGTCGAGCGCGACGTTCGACGTTGGCGTAAACTCCGGCCGCAATCTCTCTAATATTAAATAGAATAATACCCCGATAATAAGATATTTTTAATAAATGACGCTTTAGGTGACAATTTGTGGGATCGAGACGAATACAGGTTCGGTTCGGTTATATGGTGTTACATTACTAATTTGAAGGACATCGACAACGCCTTCGATTCCATGTTGAATGTAAGTATAATAACAACAAATAGATTAAATTTAAGTAAAAATTAAATACCCGATAATAAGAAAATTAAGAAACGTAAGTCAGAAACATGCTCATTATTTAAAATTATTTTAAATTATGTATCTTAGGCGGAGGATAAGATCGGAGGAGGTATTTCTTTGGATCGCTACAAGGAATTAGTTGTGGAATTTTTTACGTCGATGGACGGCGAAACTCCGAGTAGAAACATTTTTGGACCCCTGGATCCTAAACGTGCCGACGACGTATTGGCCAAAGCCTCGCCGTTACGACTTTAAATAAATCCGACCACGTATTTTTTACTTATTAATAAATAATATACTGGCAGTTTGATAAATGTAATGCGTTAATAAATGATTTTATAATCGATGTAAACAAATAAATATATATAATAATACGAATTCTTCGTCGGTTGATATCAATTAATACTCTCGGTGGCCGTATGGCGGGTCGTTATTCATTCCGGTGACAGGTCCGGATTCGAGTGTCGCCCCGGGCCCGTACCATATTTCATTACATAGGATATTCGGAAACGATTTCTGTCCAGAAATTATAGGCGGACGATGAAAAATACTCGGCAGAACTTCTGTAATTTTATAAGATTTATACGATAATAAATAAATTAAAGGTAAAAAAAAAAAATGAAAACGTATCGTTAATACACCGGGCCGAATCGAACGACATTTAACTTTTCGTGAAATTTAATAAGATTAATATAGTGTTTAAAGGAAATGAAGTTGTAAATTTAATGGCAGAAAGTCGTATCGAATTTCTTTGTCTTAATTGTTCGATGTAAACGGGTTTCTTTCCTCGAACATTTTCGTAATAAGCGATATTTAAAATTTGTTCAGACGGCTCGAACGCGTTTATAATTATTTTATAACCAGAAACTTTATATTATAAAAAAGGAAAAAAAATAAAATGAAAATAAATAAGGAAGTTTAAGTCATAAACGTGTGACTTTAACAATACGCGTACGTAACTGGTATAATTCAAAATTATACCTCCAGATGGCGGAGCGAGATGGCCTTTTCACTAAAATATTTATAGATGGACGGCAAAATACTTTCGCACCTCAAATATTTACGAAATATTTGAGAGTAAATTTTAGAAAATCGTATTAAAAGCCCATCGTTATTACAATTAAACTATGTAAACTAGCAAAAATCTACTTTAATCTTTGGCAATAATGTCTCTGTCACCTCGTAACCTTGACCTAAATCCGAATAAACATTTTTGCCGCGTGTTGCCAGCGAAAGCCACCCTCCGGGCAAAACATCGTTGACAGAATTGAAAATTGTTCGAGGACAATATTCAATATTCTCCCAAGAAAGGAAATCGATAAGCGACACGCTTTAATATACAAAGATTTTTGTATAAAGCGACTGGCATAGATGGGAATGGCATGGCTAACCGCGAAAAACTGCGCTATCCAATCGTATTCGAATTCAAATTCTTCACCCCGAGCAGATGGTGTCCGTACTAATTGAGTGGGTGAGAGAATATCGATAGAAAAATCAAACACGGAAAGTCTGGTCTCTCCAGCAATTAAGAAAAAGTAATGGATGGATGTCAACTTCTTGCTACTTGGTACTAACGACTCTTCATTCCTCTAACGAGACTAAGCTTATTTTCGCGGATGATCCGACCGAAACCGGATTATTTCGAGGGGGTTTGCGGAACAACGGAACAACTCTATTGTATAAAATCGATTTACCCGTATTAATTGTAAAACACAGCCTCGTTTATTTATCTATTTTTATTTACCCAAATAATATTTTTATAATATGTAAGTCGACGTACAGTAAAATACGTATAAACTATTTTACGTGTTGTATAAGAAGTAGAAAATTGCTAATTAGGAAGGAATGCTATTTGTTAAATTATATTCCATTCGTATTTTAAAACGTAGAGTCGCTTTGTACTAAAAAAAGAACCTAAAATATTCGAGTAACTTTTTCTGTTAATGTGTTTAGTTTAATTGCGTTTTATGATGTTAATCCACATTAAACGTTTCGTAGCCATTTCCTTTTTCTGCAAAGTCTATAATTGCCCTCGTGTAATTGCAATCGCGCGGAATGTTTGCTGCCGAATTAAATAAGAATACGAAATCGAAGCAATCGGATCGAGCAGGGATTATTCCCGCAGATGTCAACTATTCTATGGCATTGTTAATTTCGCGGCGACTGGTCGTCGATCGATGCTAAGTGACAAAAGCAGTTTCGCGTGTCGGACTTTACTGCAAACCGCTTTATTAGCATCGACACTTCGCTTATTCCGATGCTTTTTTTTTAATCTCCCCCGTACATCGAAATAATTTAAGTTTTCGAATTCGATTAGAAAGGTAGAAGTTGTAATTACAAATTATGAAATTCGTTTGTATATACTGTATTTAAATTAACGACGTAAATTATCCCCGTACGCGCTCACACATGTATAGTATATACGGTACATCGGTGCGGCAATTAGACAGTTTGCTTGAAGAAGCAATTAAATTGTATAAATATGTCATTACACTCGTTTTCGTGACATAAATATATAAATTAGACACGAGGGAATTAAGGCATCTTGAACTATGCCAGTGTAGGGTAATTTCTGGTCAATCGCGGTTTGTACTTTCGATCGAGGTGAGAAAAATTCTTGCAATAATCTTATTTAAAAATTTTCGTTGTCGATCACTCGTGTTTTAAACACAAAGAAATATAAATATAATTCAATTAAATAAATAAACACACCCTTATTATTAAGTTGAGAAATGGAAATTATTCGTTTTATTCGCTACACCGTAAATATTTAAAACTATTTATTTTAAACACCTAAATAGTGGCATTTTCCCATGGAAAGTCTTTTCCGGCAGAGCTTATGTGTCGAGTTGCCTCGTCCGTCAGTCTTTTCGCCTGATAGAATAGTTTTATACAGTCGAACCTGTGAACGACTGTATAAAACAGTATAATAGGGATTTGCCAGTTTAGCTTTTCACCGGAACCACCCTTAAATGGAGTCGCAATATTTCTTTAAAACAGAATTTTCACTAAATTGATCTTTTTCTTTCTTTTTCTTCGGGCAAAATTAACATACCTTAAATTCCATCTTCTTAAGACCTATTGTTACGTGACAGAACGTCCAGAGAAGCTGGATTCGCTTGTCTTTTTGAGATTCTCAGTATGTTAAAGAAACAAAACAGTGTTAAAAATTTATCCTTCGAATATACACACTCGTTAACAAAAATTTACATTTCAGAAGAAGCAGTTGAAATGGAACTAAAATTAATGCCAACAGTAATAAATGATCACAATACCGTAACGAACAAACAACGGTACAACCGAAAGGAACTTTTAGTATCTTGTAAAACCTCCTCGTGCCTGGATGCGAAGACGAAGCCATCGCCGGTGGAGACGATTTCTGCCACACAAATCTGTGGTAGAAATCTCACATACGTAATTAGTCCAGAGACTACGTGTTTGCCCTAAATACCACCTCACAGTCAGGTGGGAACGGCACGGGCACGATGGAAATTCCCAACGCAGTAAGTCTATGCCAGCCTTTTTAAAATCGCTAACATAGTATCATATAAATACTAGGTTAGCGATTTGAAGGCACACTTATCTACACAAATCTACACAACCGTAATTATTTACAGTTAAATTCGTTTACACTATTTCAATTAAACAAAAAGAAACACTAGAGAAACTTCCCACTTTTATAGTGGAAAGACGGAGAGAACGGTCGCATTCATTTTTAATTGCGGGATAATCAAAATCTAGAAGAATTACATGATATATTTTTGAATTTAGACAGACATTTATTTACGTCTCTTCCCGCATTCAAACTTAACGCAATTGTTACATTATAAATTTATAAACTGGAATGTATTATAGCGTGCATACCGAGTATAACAGACCCGTTCGTTTTCAAACTTTATTTTTGAAGAATTGTTGTGATTTATAATAAAAACTTAAACTCGAAATAATAAAAAATAAATTCAGATATTTTCTACCGTACTTGCCATTAAATATAGAAAATATAAAGATTTTTCTAGTGTTAATGTATATATATTTTTTTCCAGTTATTCACACGCCGTTGGCTTCAAAACTACTCAAATTAAGCAATAATTCTTCAATGTTCTGTCTAATATAAGAAGACGAGTATCGATAGAAGGAAGGACATAAAAAAGTAGGAATCGGCAATAAAAATGGAGAATTTCGAGAATTCTTTCCCAGTGTTGATTAATCCAAAGAGTTGGAAATTAAGGAGTTTACAAGTCTCGTTATCTCCAGTCGACTAATTAAAGCAATAAAGCTTAATTTGCAGATTATCCTCGTTAGAGCTTTCCTAACGTTAAACAAGATCCCATCTGATTTATTTTCTGTAGCTTACTCCGATTGAAAATGGTGAGTCAGTGTGTTAGTCCGAACCTCTCCCACTTAGTTATATTTAGCCATTTCTGATGAAAAACAATCTGTCTTTTATCGTCTTTCGAATACATAATGAAGTTAACAATTTCCAAGCTTCCACGTATCTACGTCACTTCGTAACTGTTTAAAAAACACAAAAATACTCTAAATATTTTTGTCTTGGGTAATAATAAATTATTATTAGTGAATTTCTTTACGTTTTTGTTGTCTCTTGAAGCATTGTTCAATCGTTGTCGCCGGAGAAATTGCTCTGTTGTTTGTCGATATTTTCCAGACTTTCTCGTCTTTTTTCATTCGATTAATAATTGGAACAAGCGGAAAAATAAATTAACTCGTTAAAAATTGAAAAAAGTTAATAATTTTTTAAAAAATATCACAAAATATACTAAAAAATTAATGAAAATTATAAAATTTAACGTTTACTTTTGGATTTATCGATTCTTGGAAGGGTGCTTTACCTGTTAGAAAATTGTATTACATTTCATATTTTGGTATTAAATTGATTGAATTTTTGCAAAGTTTTTAAATGTTTATAATAGGAATTATATGACAATTAAATATGTAATTAGAATGGTAAGAACCCTGGAGTCTGAAAGGGTCACGCGGTTGTCGTTTCCTTGTTTTGAAAAATATAATTGTTTAATTGTAAGTCTCGCATGAAAATTAATATTTTAAGGTGTGTTTTGCATTTATTTAAATTATATAAAGTAAAATACCGTATGAAATTCAACAATTCAAACCCTCAACCTTCTCTAAATATGCCCACAACGTACAAAAGTATTCGGAGTAAGCGGATTAGTAGGACGAAGCCACCCAACAACTAGGCCATCCGCCCGAGGTGAGTGCTGAAAACGTTTTATGAAAATTGGCCCCCTATTTGGGAGTTAGACACGAGAATAAAACGCGGAAAACTTCACGGGGAGCGCGAATCCTTGACCGCTGATCGGTGGGTCCACCCGGACCCACCAAAATTTAATACC